AGCCCCGACGGCCTTGTGCGGCGCAGGCACGGGATGTTTCAGACCACAGTGCCTTTTATTTACATTGCACACCTCGAGAGAAGACGCTTAAATAAATCTGCGAAGAATCGGGCAGCATCTCCGAGACAATAAGTTAACGGCTGCCACCGGGCTGCAGCAGTGACCCGGGGAAGCGGCTCCCACAGATGCTGGGTGACAGGGAGAGCGTCCCCAGGGGTGACGTCCCGCGGCTCCTGGCACCACCCAGCAGCCCTTGTACGCCGGGAGGAGAGCAGTCCATGGGCTGCCACGTGGCAGACAGGCCCGTACAGCTAAAACACAGCAGGTAAAAATCCGGAGGAGTCCGGCATGCGCCGGCTGCTCAGCCAGCAGCGGCAGTTCCCTTTTGGCAGGAGGTCTCAGTGGTGGAAGCAGCCGTAGAAGTAGGCACCACTCCTCTGGCCCAAGTCGACACCCTTCTCCTCTGGAAGAGAGCAGGGGCAGCAGGCTCCTGGCACACCCATGCCATGCTGCCATGGGGGAGCCCAAAAGCTGCCGGCTCCCTGGCAGGGGGGTTTGGTTCCCTCTGCAGAGAAGCCATGACTGGACCCAGGGCTGCAGTCAGGATGAGCATGCCTGGACAGTCCTGGTACGGAGCTGAGCGGCAGGCCCACACCCAGGCACAACTGGCTGCCTCTTTGCCAAAGGCCACCCGTGGCCCAGTTGGGCAGATGGACCAAGTCTAGCCCGAGCAGGGACAAGGATGCTGTGATGGGACACAAGCTTGGCAGGACTGCCCCTGGCATGGAGCTGCAGCAGCCCCAGGGAGGGTGGAAGCAAGAAAGGACCCTGCCAGATGCCACAGCACTTATCTGGAGCACTTGTCAGAAAGGACCCTGCCAGACCCCACAGCACTTCTCTGGAGCATTTGTCTGGCATGGGAAAACGTGCCTGGGGTGGGGGGGGAAGATCCTGCCTGCTCACCTGTCATCACCTGGAAGGCAGTGAAGTAGACATAGTCCTCAGCCACCTTCTGGAACAGCTCGTCTGGGGGGAGAGTGGGCAGGGTGGGTGTGGGCAACCCGCCCACCAGGCAGAGCCCCCCTGGGCCCTTGGGCAGGAGCAGGGCCAGCAGTAAGGTGGCTACTTACCCACGCTTTGTCCTGTCTTACTGGAGGTCTCAAAGAGGTCTGCCTTGATCTCTGCAACAAGGGTCCATTTAGCACCTGCTGCGGGTGCAGAATGCAGCCTCGTGTGCCCCACCAGCGTCATCCCCCGGGCATGGCTGCCAACAGCAGGCTGGCAGGGGCCCAGGACAGGGCTCCCCTGTCGCCCCTTGGCCCGGCTGGCTGTGTGCCTGCCCCTGTCAGGACAAGCTGTGCCCGGGGAGGTCCCTGGCAGATGTAGCATGTCACTGTCTGGAGCCACCAGATCTCCTGCAGATCCCGGGTAAAGACAGAGCCCCTCCCACCTCCTGGACACAGCAGCTCCACCCCTTGCCCCGCCCCCGGCACCGCGTCTCCCGCCCGTACCATCGGCATAGTCCTGGACATCATGGAAGTCAACGCCGCGCTTCCTCCTGTCCTCTTCCAGCAGGTCGCTCTTGGTGCCACACAGGTAGATCCGGCAGCCCTGCAGCAGGCAGAGGGGCGGG